CGTGGCCCCGCGGGACTTGAGACCACCAGGACCAAAACGACCCGCCAAAAGATTACTGAAGAAAGAGGTGTCTTTAGATACTTACACTTGGCAGCGAAAGTACGGACATCTTACGTCAGGTTATCATTTTTATATATTTCTAATATCATTTAGAGATTGTCATCGATGCTTTAAGCATATTCAAAGCAAAAATAAGAATTTAGTTTGATCTTCTTTGCATTTATCTTCATAGGTATTATAGTTTCAAGTATCGAGGAACGATTGAAACGTCGCTTTAGCGTGAGCGCATCGATGGAAGAAATCAGTCAAGCAGGTTTAGCCGGTTCTCAATCTGGCCTAGGTCCTGAACAAGCTGCTTTAGCACAATCTCAACATTTTGATCAACTAGAGGCACTTTGGAACAAACAGTCACCGCCGCCAAGACCACGTGGCCTAGTACGGACATTAACGAAACAAAGTTCGCTTCAAGCTAGCCGAATATCCGACTCTGAAGAAGAAGAAGGTAAACTTATTATCTAATTTATTTAAGCAAACACTTATCTTTTTTATGATAAGGCGTATAAAGATAATGTTGTTATATATAGTGAGATATTTATCATTGCAGATATGCCGGATTAAATGACAAAATATTTTCTATCGACAACCTTTGGTTGATTGTCGAATATATTTAAGTTACAAAATGTCCTTCCGTGTCATTCGATGCAATAAATAAAGATATACCAGAGGTAATAGACTAGAAAAAAAATGTACAATTTGTTCTATTATTTTTGCATTCCAATTTACCTCTATTTTATTTTATTATCTGCCCATTATATTAATTCAATATTTTATACAATATTAACATCAGTTATAAATTATATCATACATAAATATTATTTATTGATTCGCTTCTTGACTATGTGCAGTTTGGTAATATTTTGCGATAATTCTCCATGCTTTCGGTGCCATAAAATCTTTAGGAGGATCTTCATCATTTTTTGCCAAATCTAATGTAAAAAGAAACACAAAAAATAAAAATATCTTTATAAATCTTGTGGAGATATACATGCGTATATAGCCACAAATGAAAATAATATAAAATTATATAAATTAATAAATAAAAAAAATTATGGTAGAATAAAAACTTACTGCGCATTTTGGTACCGGAAATAAAAATGAAGTCTTGCTGTCGTTCAGTTTCGAAGAAAGACATTTTTTTCGTTTTGGTGTCGTAAGCAATTACTCTAAAAGGAATAATTTTGAGATTTTGTAAACCTGGCGCCATTGAAAGAATGCGTGCACCATGAGTGGCATCGTAAAGATTGCCGTCTGGTGTGATGGATTTATCAGGATGAGGAATACCAGCAGGATCTCGTCCGACAATGTAGAAATTTGCTCCTGCGATCATACGAGCTTTGGCATGCCATTGCACCTAAAAAATGTAAATCATGATAAAGTGGCTAAACATTTTTTTTAAATTGACATTAACAATCTTTACATATTTCACATTATATTGTACGTTATATATTGTTACGTTAGAAAGAAATTTACTGACCTCTGTAGGACCGGCATAACACATAGGACTAGGAAAGATAGCGAGAATAGTATCCTTTTGCAAGACGTTTTCCTCGAGGATAACCTGGTGTTGCCGTATCCTGATTGGTAGAGGAACATCATCATCTTTAGTCCACCCGCCCAAAGGATGAAGAAGAAGAACTGGTTTCTTGAAGCCGTATTCTTCGAGACGTCGCCTAGTATCCTGAAATACAAGGAGATGCAATAGAAATAACGAATGCGTATTGCCGTTTCCCTAACAGCACAGACCTTCACGGGACGTCCTGAGGATGTCCATATGTCCTTTGAACATCCTAAGAATGTTCCAGGATGTATCTTGGATAAAGTGTGCTATTATGGTTATAAAGTTTTGTTATTTCATGAAGTAAGTATCAACCTGCATAAGCAACGCGTGTCCATTGTGTATTGGATTTCGTAATTGGAAAGCAAAAACCGCATCGGCGCCAATCTCTCGACACTTAGTCCTGATCTCGTTAGGCGTCAGCCTATAATGATCCAGCCCGTCATTCCATCTAATTCTTTCGAGCACTTCCAAATCCCCGCCGACCAACCAGTCACCAGAGTCTTGGATTAATCTGACATAAGGGTGCCTGCGATTATTTGTGCCGAATTGACGGCAACAACGTTCTTCCTTGCGGTGGAAGTAAAATTCCGGATTGCGTAAGACGGCAAGATCCTTGTCCTGATATCTAAGTATGAGCGCGATCGCATCGAAACAGCGCTCTTTGTCGGAAGTACTCACGGCAAGAACGATAGGAATCGATTGGTTGATCGAAATGCCGTTTTCATACAGACAGTTAAAATGTTGTACCTATTAAAAATAACAATGTTTTTGCATTTGATACATGGATACATTAAACTTAAACTTACTTGAAGATATTCGTTTTCCCTCATAAATCCTTTCAAAGGCGCCGCCCATCCTTCAGCGAGAACTTGTAACCATTGCACATCTAATTTTCCGATTTCCACAATTGGAAGAGTCTTAATTTCCTTCCGGATATCATCCAATCTATCCTCTTCCACGAATAATTCTAGACAGGATTGCTTAAGTTCGCATATCTTTGGTATAATTTGTTTGCTTTGGAGAAAATTGATGACGATATCGGTGGATTGTTGAACGGTCGTGTTCTCCGTGTTGACGGTGAGATCAGGTTCGATAGGTACATCATAATTTTGATCGATACCGGTGAAACCCTTAATGATACCCTGACGTGCTTTCTTGTAAAGGCCTTTGACATCACGGGCCTCGCAGATCTGGAGGGATGCGTCGATGAATATCTCGAAGAAAGGCAGATTGGCGTTCTCGTGAATTTTGCGTGCCATTTCTCGATCCTCCGCGAACGGCGAGACGAAGCTGCAGAGGGCAATGATTCCGGAGTCTGCGAAGAGCCTCGCGACTTCAGCAACGCGACGAACATTCTCCTCGCGATCCTCTTTGCTGAAGCCGAGATTACAATTCAAACCGGTGCGCAAGTTGTCACCATCCAAACTGTACGCGGGAATTCCCTGCTCCATAAATAACATCGAATAAAATACCGTGAAAGTGGATCAACAAGTTATGAGCGATTACGCTGTACCTGAGAAACGAGATATTCCTCAAGTTGAAAAGAGATGGAAGTCTTTCCGGCACCAGAAAGTCCCGTCATCCAAATTGTACATCCACGAAATCCTCGAACGGAGCCGATCGCTTGTCCCCGTTTCGTTCTAGACACATGATGTGCTTGAGACAACACGTTGGTAGCTATCGCTTGCGCCTGCGATGAGAAATATATTTTCTATCAGTGTTCTCATTAACGTTACACTCCACAGACTTTTTTCTATATTAATTTTATTATATCTCACTTCTTTCGGACAATTCGAAATCTCTAGTATCCGTCGTTCAAAGATTCCCATTTTTCTAAAAACTCTTTTTATTTCTGTGTTTATTTAATATTTAATAATACGCGCTTAATAATTACGTAATAATTTGTAATGATTATTTTTAATTTATTATTTTTATATAATTGTCATTAATTATTAGGATTATTGGGAGACACAATATATATCTGAATCCTACGACAGACGATAGAAAACTGAAAACTGTTCTCGGTGTATGAAATGTAAGATGCTGTTAAAAGTGAAAGTTTGAAGAAAGTCACTTTCATCGATATTCTAGTCAACAAGTCCAGGAACACTTTTAAAAGGTTGCTGTCGTGCAAAGGCACATAACTGCATTATATTCTACATATATTAAATTTATTAAATAATATAATTTTTGTATTTCAAACTAATCTAACTCAAGTTTATCTTATCTTATCAAAAATAAATTAAATAGAGTTATCGTTTTTTTATAATGAAAAAATTCATACGTTACTGTAATAACATGTGCATGTGAAGAAATGTAATTCATAATATAATTGTTTACAGCATTGTTTACAATAAAAAAATAAATTTAAAAAATGAAATATATAAATTTTTTTATAAAAGATTTCTGACAGCTGATAAGATTCATATTTAAAATACAAAAATTTTAATCATTTCTCATTTATTGGGGCAATATTGCACTTGCAATAACATTGCAGAGATTTTGCAGCAATATTGCTGCAAATTTTGTGTATTGTATCTAGTGATTATTTTTTTGTAATGTACTTTAAAAAATTAATCTCTCAGCAAACGAGAATGGATTAAAATGGATTGAAATTTTTTCGAATGTGTATTTTAAATAGCGAATACTTTTTTTGGGATTTAATTAGATTCAATTGGATTCAATTAGATTCAATTGGATGCAATTGGATTGAAAAACTGCATTTCCTATTCAAACTTTTGAATTGAACAGTATTCACAATGCACAGAAAAAGCTAATATTATTTTTAGATTGAAAGGCATAGAGATATTCCTATAAATGAATAAAAGTGTATTCAGAATTGAAAAGCTTTCATTTTAATATTCGTGAATCAATATTTCTGAAAATCTGAATCCATTTCAATTCATTTCAATTCATTCTTATTTACTAGGCTGGCATTCGAACAGTTATTCATGGAATTTAACAGATATTCTGACGAAAATGAAAAATTGGATCAAGCGTATTATTTACGAATCGTATTGAATCAATCAATAATTAATGATCAATCAAATTAATATTATTTTGATTTTCTTTTTCTGTTTGGGAATAATATTATAAGGGAGGGTCAGGGCCCCTCATAAAATTACATATTTAATAGAAATATATGTGAAATATATGTATTATTTAAAAATATAATAATCTCAGCATTTGGAATTATCAATTTTTTCCTTTTATTTTTTGAAAATTTTTGTTTATTACAATATGATAAACTCGTAAACTTCAAGTCTCGAACTTCATTACCGATGACTCGAATTATCTCTCGAGTAAGGTTTCATTCTTCGCTAAAGAAGTGATTTTAATTTTCTTGTACTATTTTCTTCAACAGACATGCCGGCAATTCGTAGGCATTCATAGGTTCTGATCATTTAGTGCCTAAAAGATATGTGTTGACGAAAACTGCATATAATTAAGCGTCGTAACGCTTAATTATTCGAGGTATTTTATTAATTACGCATAATTAGTCACAGAACGTATGTTTTTATCTTGTCAATAATCGCGGAGTTTTTGTGCGCGAAACTGCCGAATGTTATGTGCTCCACCGAGCATGTGCTCGCTTTATTTTGAAATAAATTACGATCATATTACAGAATGGAGAAACTCTGTCCAGTGTGTGAAAAGAATGGTATTAGGAAAAAGATCAAGGCATTTCAGATTAATCTGGAAGAAGCAGTGTGGTCCTGTGAGGCGGAAGAAGTAAACAATTTCTTCTGTTCCTTTTCTGTTTATTTCCTTAAAACCTAGAATATTTTCCAGTAAAAAACGCAGATGACATAATATAACATAGTGATTACAGTCTTGTTGTTCTTGTTTGTTAATGTTAAGCAAAGAATGCATTCTGAGTAATGCATGAAACGCATTATGCATCATTTGTTTCTTATTGTCATTTAATAATAAAGAAAGATAAAATGACATTATGTACTTCACGCGTACATTCGGAACGCATCCAAAGATGAGATGATCCTTGTGTTGTACCATGTCTCTTGCTGGAAAATACCACTAACCTATGTGTTCTTCACTAATGTGTTCTTTGCTTCCTGTTTCTTGCTTTTTGTCTTTTACTTTTTCCCTCTTTGTGATCATTTTATCATGTTTCTTGTCTCTTCTAATATTCATCAAATTTTATATCAGACGACAAAAAGTGAAGAAACAGGATAAGAAGTAAAAAGTAAGAAACAGGAAGCAAAAAATATAACTGTAGAGCTTGTATAGGCTTTACATCTATGCCCACAATTTTGTTTTGTATTTTAGTGCAGCTGGCCGATTGGTTACGAGGAATTGACATTCTTCCCTAGAGCAGCTTCCTTCTACAACTGGGAAGAACCAAGTTTTGCTAAAGAGGACATTCCTGTACCAATGGAATTTACGCTTTATACACCACCTGTAACTCCCGGAAGCGAACTTACCAAAGAATTGACCGAGATAACAAGTGCTGAATATTCATCATGTCCTACAATGGAAGATAAAATTGAAACAGTGCCTGAATGTGAATTCATTACCTCAACAAAGGAATCTACTGATTTTAATAAATCATCACTATTTGAACCATTTGAATTAGCAGATGTTAACTCTAAAGAAAGCAAAAATATGAGTAAACAGATTGTAGATGTTAGGACACTGCCCAAGATCGTTAACATCAAAAAGACTAATATTAATCTTAAGATTTTTTCTAATATTGATAACAATTGTGATAATAGAAAACTGCAGGAACGTAATTATTCGTTCATGAATACAAATGTAGTGGATACTTTCAAGAATCTCGATATATCTAATAAGTGTACAGAGTTTGGTTTAAGTCAGCAGTACAATACCACAAACGAACAGAATGAAAATAAATTGCAATTGGAGGCAACAGTGAATGAGGTAAAAACAGATATTGGCACAGAGACATTATCAAAAGCTAAGAACACGTTAATCGACCTAGATACTACAATTAATTTAGATACAACAAATCAGTCTACAGAAAGTATTTCGAACAACGATATAGACACACTATTGGAAGATATTCTTAACAATGAAAACAATTTACCTATAGCTTTAAATGATGATTGGTTAAATATGTTGGTGAGCTGATGACAGTAACTTACATTTATTATTATTATTTAATAGTTTGTATTGAACAAAGACTGAAAGCTGTGGCGAAGGAGATCAGATTGTAAGTTATAACTGATTTTTATGAAATGTGATAATAGAATGACATTTAATCGTAATGAAGTTATTGTAAGAAATTATCGTAAGAAATAATAAACAATCATAAAAGAAATTAAAAATGACATTTTGTTTTATTATTACATTTACTCATCATCCTTTTAACAATGTAGTAATTAATCTGCTTATATGATAGAAGAAATTATGAACATTTACGGAAGTTATTTGACCTTTGGTAAATGAAAGAAAACCAGTCAAATGGTGAATAAAATTTTAGAATTTAAAAAACTCGAATCTTTAATTATAAAAAATGATTGCATATATTCACTTTACTAAGGTCCATTTTTACCAATGTAGATTAACTTTAATCTTGGTTCAAATTTACTCTTTATCTTTTTCTAATTTTTAAAATTTGAAAAAAGAAACAAGTTAAAACAAGATTAACGTTAATTTTCATAAAAATGAAAAAAACGATTTCTACTAGTAGTCGTTTTATTTTAAGCAATTAAGTATCCTAATCTGAAAACATTTTATTTATAATAAACTTAAAATTTATTATTTCCTCTCTTAAATCTTATCTCTTAGGCCCGATTGTTCCATCTTAATCGCTTTCAAAACTGTGAGGTAAATCTGGTAATTCGCGCATATGATTGGATAATCTTGTTATTTACCTAACAGGTAAAATTTATCAAAAGGTGGAACTTTTTTTCTTATCTCTTTAATCTTCTGTCTTTGAACTTGGCAGTTAATTCGGTCATATTAAAGCTGCATTTTCATACTGACACTCGATTCGAGTGTCATAACAGATCATGTGATCAAAATTGACGAATACCAAGCATCAATTTTAATCTTTATTAGCAGCCAATCGCATATCAATTGGCAGCGTGTTTTGTTTTGTGCTGCTCTATCCGCCATTTTTCCTGTAAAGTTTATGGGTTTACCGGCCTTTACCTTTTTACCGCGTTTTATCTACTGTAATTTCGTCGATAATAACACATGTCCTATTTATTTTTACGTACTTGTTCGGAAAATTGTTTATGCAATCTTCTAAAACAACATTCTTATTAAACTAATCGAATAAGGATCTTGGGTACTTATTCAGGATGGATTTCCTTGAATATCCGGACATCTTCGCCGAGGTTAAGGGTGCAATGGTAAGAACTCTGCTTTCAAAACAGTTAAACATTATCATATAATTGATTCTTCATGAGTTAAACACTTTTCACTTATCTGTTTTGAGCTCAACATAATGGCGATCTATTTCCTAATTACATGAAATTTGGCAATATTTAATCAGTTCTGTTTTTAGTCTTTACTAAAGATACACAAATAATTGATT